AGAGAACAAGTTAGAATGGTATATGATAGAATAAGAGAGATAACAAGTTAGAATGGTATATGATAGAATGAGAGAGAGAACAATTTAACATGATATATGATAGAATAAGAGAGATAACAAGTTAGAATGGTATATGATAGAATGAGAGAGAGAACAAATTAGAATGGTATATGATAGAATAAGAGAGAGAACAAGTTAGAATGGTATATGATAGAATAAGAGAGAGAGAGAACAAGTTAGAATGGTATATGATAGAATAAGAGAGAGAACAAGTTAGAATGATATATGATAGAATGCGAGAGAGAACAAGTTAGAATGGTATATGATAGAATAAGAGAGAGAGAGAACAAGTTAGAATGATATATGATAGAATAAGAGAGATAACAAGTTAGAATGGTATATGATAGAATGAGAAAGACAACAAGTTAGAATGGTATATGATAGAATGAGAGAGAGAACAATTTAAAATGATATATGATAGAATGAGAGAGAGAACAATTTAAAATGATATATGATAGAATAAGAGAGATAACAAGTTAGAATGGTATATGATAGAATGAGAGAGAGAACAAGTTAGAATGGTATATGATAGAATAAGAGAGAGAACAAGTTAGAATGGTATATGATAGAATAAGAGAGAGAGAGAACAAGTTAGAATGGTATATGATAGAATGCGAGAGAGAACAAGTTAGAATGGTATATGATAGAATAAGAGAGAGAAGAAGTTAGAATGGTATATGATAGAATAAGAGAGAGAAGAAGTTAGAATGGTATATGATAGAATAAGAGAGAGAAGAAGTTAGAATGGTATATGATAGACTAAGAGAGAAAACAATTTAAAATGGTATATGATAAAATAAGAAAGAGAACAAGTTAGAACGGTATTCCGTACTTTTACTTCGCAGTGAAAGCTATGCACAATGTTGTTTTTACAGCTGATTCTCATGTTATACAGAAATAGGAAAACATGTCATACTTCAAGTTTAAGATATGATACCTCAGCTTTCTTACTGCTTAATCAGTGGTTTCCAACCCGCGTGTCGTAGTAAGTTGCAAAGGGTGTCGCGAGCGCTTCCCGAAACGAAGAATAATTAAGAACATACAAAATATATACAAAAAATATTGCATGTGGCAGCAGTGGTGTCGCGTAAATCAATGTAAGTGAGTTACTGTGTCGTCAGTGAAAAAAAGTTTGGAAACCACTGGCAAAATTCACAACCTTTCTATGTACCTACATCAACTTGATGTGATTTAAAATCATCTGGATTTTTAGTCTATCTGAATTCTGTTGAAAAGTAATTTATTATAACATAATTACGACAGAGGTAAAACGTACCTTTGCACTCAATAGAATTTAAATATACTTAAGATAATTTACTTCAGTTGGCTCGTACTGAACAAACATCCTTTCTCCCTAACAAAATATAGTTGAAATAAATCGCAGAATAGTTAACTGGTTTTAAACTTATTCAACTATTTCAATCAAACTGATCTCTGATTCAATCACATTTGTTGTACGACAAAAAGAGAGTTTCAACGTCTTGTGAGAATCTTTAAAACCTTTGATATCTAAACTCAATATCTTATCTAAGAAAAACATTTTTAAAGCTACTAATTTTCATTCAGGATGACAATTAGCACCTTAGTAATGTATTTTTATCTTCTATATTTCCAGTTGCTGTTGTGGTGGCCTTCTTCGTCTGCTACGCTCCGTTTCATGCTCAACGACTCATGGCGACTTATGTCACAGATCCTACGCCGACAGAGACTATTATTTACGACGTACTGACGTATTTGTCGGGTGTGTTGTATTACGTCAGTACCACTATTAATCCTATCCTCTACAGTATTATGTCGTTCAAGTTTCGACAGGCTTTTAAGGAGACTTTAGCAAGATGTTGCGGAAGACAAATTACACGATCTCAGAGCTTCAAGGTCATGTCTAGGTACACTGCACACCACTCTACCGCCTTCGAAACAGTAGATCTAACAGTGCTGTGCGAGTCGTCACATCCTCACCAACGCAGTGTTTCCGCAGTTCCCCGCTATCACTCCATACCTGAGATCGTAAAAAATATTCCCTCTGCACGTCAACAGGCCAGAGAAATGAGAGCGTCAAGCATATGTAACGTGGAAACCTACGACGAAGAAAGAGAGCTAAGACCGATCTCGATCAGTAACAGTAGTCTTCAGAGAATAGACGATGATGCATTTCAGGAGTCGAATTGCATTGCTCAATTAGAGCAGACTCCTAAGCTTTGATGATGACTGATGATGATTCTTTCAAGAAAAAAGATGAAGAAACTTGATCGATTAAAGCTTATAGAAGATGAAAAATGCGATTTTTGACAAAATCCTCATGTGAAACACTTATTACGGAATTAACTTTGTTGAATAAAACATATTTCGTGCGTAGCTGAAGTAGTTTTATTAGAAACGCATAAGTATTATATTGAGAATAAGCTTGTTACTTGATAGTCACTGTCATAGAAACTACAAAAAAGTCACGTAGGTAAACTTTCACCTTTAGTTTAGATTAACTGATATCAGTTGAAACTGGTTTGTTGAAAATTCATGTTTAAGAACTAAAAGCTTACTCAAGGCCAAAACTGTTCTGTTTCTTTCTTTAAATTACATTTGTTTCAATTATCGCCCTTGAAATAAAACTGGATTTTATGTATGATCCTGTGTGCAAGTTTTCGAAGTATGATACTAATTACAAATAAACAATCAACTTCTAAATCACAAACTATTGGACTACAATAGAATATAATTTCTGATGAAGTTATATTTTTATAACACTCTCCTGAAGAAGGACATTGAAATACGCTAATATTTATCAGCTTTACTTATCTTCTTAATAACTATCTACGCATAATAAATTAAAATAAATAACTTTCTTCAAAAAGTAGGCTTAGTTATTGTGGTATTTAAACTACAACAAAAAGGGCCCCCCAGTGGCACAGCGGTATGTCTGCGGACTTACAACGCTAGAATCCGGGTTTCGATACCCGTGGTGGGCAGAGCACAGATAGCCCTTGTGTAGCTTTGTGCATAATAAAAACAAACAAACAAAAAAGGTTTTATTAAAATCTGGTGTTTCCAGTTGAACAATACTTGACAAGAATACATTAGTGTAATATGTCTAAATCAAAACGTAATTCCGTTCAGTATTATAAATACGATAAACACATTTTCTTATCTTAGTATAATGTTTATAGGAGAAATGTTTCATAGCATGTTCGGCTCCTGCGTCATAGTAATGATGACCTTGATAAAACACTCAAATTTTCATATTCATAACTATATAGATAACTTTTTGTTTGTTTGTTTGTTTTGAATTTCGCGCAAAGCTACACGAGGGCTATCTGCGCTAGCCGTTCCTAATTTAGCAGTGTAAGACTAGAGAGAAGGCAGCTAGTCATCACCACCCAACGAATAGTGGGATTGACAGTAACATTATAACGCCCCCACGGCTGAAAGGGCGAGCATGTTTGGTGTGACGGGGATTCGAACCCGCGATCCTCAGATTGCGAGTCGAGCGCCCTAGCCACCTGGCCATACCGGGCCTAGATAACTTTTAAAAATATTTGATTATTGTTCGAAAATAATTTAATAACAAACTCATATATATGTTTAATATTATGTGTTGGTAGCAGAAGCGTCGCTAGACACTGGCAATTGGAGCCGTGCCCCGATTCTAGTTGACAGTGACCCGAATCTGCAGTTGGTGTCCTAAAAAATTAGAATAGAAAACCGTGATCGATATGATACTGAAACTCCGAAACTTCTAGTGCCTATGGACCAGAGTCCCGAATCTTTTAAAAACCTAGCGACACCTATGGTGGATAAAATTTTAGTTTTTCTTTTGGTTTTAATCTAATTTTTATGGAGCTGAAAAGGAAGCAAGCTGAAAAGTTCATTTCAGAGATAACGTGAGAAAAACTACGAACTTTTATAGAAATGGCTATATTTGACAAGTGGAAAGCATACAGATACATCAATGAACACGGCAAGATTGGTGTTAGTGTTCTATGTTTGTGGAAATATTGGAATTATGGAGCGTAAAATAACCGGATTCTGATGAAAGTTTGTTTCTTTATGACAAAGCTACTAAGATTACATGTTGCTGTCCTCAATTTTAAATTGCCAGCTACAGGGGAGGCAATTGGTCAGCAGTACCCCCGCCAACTCTTGGGCTATTCTTTACCAAAGAATAGTGGGATTGGCCGTCACGTTATAACACCCGACGACACACAGTCAAGCGCCTTAACCATCAGGCCATACTAAGCCTTATGATGAAAAAGCTTGCTGATTAATGCATGTTTTAAATGAAAATCGTATTTTTTATCTTTATTTTCTGTAAAATGTGTATATTTCATTAAGTTATTAATCCCTGTTGCAAGATAACTATACTATTTATTTTATATTGCATGTGAGTTGTGAATTGTTGATAGAGAAAATTCATTGGACTTTCACTCAGAGCCGGCAGCAAATAGGACTAGGACAATGGATGATCAATATTGCATCGTGATGATACTTTGAATATTAAGCGTAAAGTCTCGTTTTCGTGAGGCAAAATTAACTACACCAACAAAGGAACCTGCAGCCAATCAGACTGAAACTTCAGGTGACCTCTGACTTTTCTACAAGTCGAGTCTCGTAGACTTAGCAGGACAACTACTGCAAGCTTCAACATACGTGAACTCTGCCCCATTTGTGGTAATGGTAATTAAAAAGGTAATAAAGTGCAGTCAGTAATCACTCACAAACAGTATCCCGACTGATCACAGCTAGATCTTGTTTCACAAATATAACTAACATGAAACATCATTCAGTTTCATTGTCAATTAACAGAATTTTCAGACTGAAAGCGAAATTAATCAGACGAAGTGTTCAAAGGGTTCCATTTCTAATACAAAAGCAAAACTGAAGGAAATAATGAAACATTAAATAGAAATAGAGATCAAAATAGAGATGCAAGTGTAAGAAATGTAATATTTAATTGTTTTTCTGGGATCAGTTAACCTCGTTTTCCTGTATGAAGAAGGAACCATCTGTAAAGTGTAAAATTTGAAGGTAGCCGAAAATGATCTTTTCTTCCAGAATATTATGATCGATTTTAAACCCACTGCAGGTTTGTGAATGAGCCCTTTACATTGGTATGACCATCAAACAATTCATTCTTCTCCCTAGCCTACCAGCGAATAGCGCTTGATATCACTTGATTCTGTGAGGGGTCACTTCAAGATCCTGATTCTATAACTGTCAGCTCTGCAAGTAAAGGAAAATATGTTCTCTACGGTAGTAGAAAATACTGGTCATTCGGTTTTCTTATTGCTAATTTACTAGTGGGAGTGACCAGCAAAAACAAGTGGAAAGTGCCAGGAATTGAACATAAAAGGTTTTCAAATTTCATAAAGGCTCGAACTTCTCAGAGGAGCAACTTTCCTCAGTCTTTCTGACATCCATTCATTTGAAACTCTTCTCTTTTGAAAAAAACCCGGATCTGCCCCTGTTAATTCTTAATGATCGCGTTAACTAGTTGTAGAAAAGAACTAAGTGGGGACACAACTATTAATTGTACGATATTTATTAGCTGCACTTGTGCATTGTTTCGGAGCTTAAAGGCCCGGCATGGCCAGGTGGTTAGGGTGCTCGACTCGCAATCTGAGGGTCGCGGGTTCGAATCCCCGTCCAAACAAACATGCTCGCCCTTTCAGCCGTGGGGACGTTATATAGTTACGGTCAATCCCATTATTCGTTGGTAAAAGAATAGCCCAAGAGTTGGCAGTGGGTGGTGATGACTAGCTGCTTTCCCTCTAGTCTTTCACTGCTAAATTAGGGACGGCTAGTGCAGAAAGTCCTCGCATAGCTTTGCATGAAATTCAAAACAAACCAAACCCTTTAATGTGTACTTGACAGTTGAATATTCACTGGCAAACACAATAAAATTTGTTTAGGTGGTATAGATTTTCATATTTATGTATTCCATGTATTATAAAGTAAATATTACAGCGTAGCAAAACGCCTAAGTTGGCAAAGTAATAAGGCTTTTCAGCCTGAGAAAAGTGATTAAAACCATAGTTGATTAAATAAGAGAAATGTTAAGAAACAATCTGCATTAAAACGTAAGTAGTTCATTAATTACCGTTTAGACGTTTTGCCAGAAAATAAGTTATCGTCTGTTTTTTTCGTACTTATTATTGTGCAAGTGTGTATGTAATAATGTATATTATTTAAGGCGATAAAGAAGATTATCAATGCTGTGCAAGAAGAGGTTTGAACTTGAATATTTTGTTAATGCAGTTAGTTATTCCAAGCTTATATTGACTTCTTTCTGGGCCAACTTGTCTCTCGGTGAGCCGACGGTAAGCTTACGAGCTTACAACGCTAAAATCCGGAATTCGATTTCCCTTAGTGTACAGGACCCAGATAGCTCCTTTTATAGTTTTGCGCTAAAACAACAATAACTGAACCAACTTATGGTAAGTATGCACTGTGTCGGATGTTCACTGGTATATATAAAAAATGTTGGACTTTACCGTAAAGGATTTATTAAAATCATGTACAAATATAATAACTTTGAACATTGTGTATTTTGTTTGTTTGTTATTAAGTGCAAAGCTACTCATTCAACTATCCGTGCTGTTTAATTTAACTTAAAATAACTTTGTTATCTTAAAATGTCTATCTGTCTGTCTAACATGTAATATCAATATATAGTAGTCTGTTGCTGCTCCCCCAGTGACTCAGTTGTAAACTTGAGGTCTTATAGCGCTAATGTTCGTGGTTCGATCTCTTCAATGGACAACCTTGTTCTGAGCAACACAACAAACTCTGCAATTCTTCAAATGAATTTTGATTGAGTCATCCTTTCAATTAAAACAATTTGCGTTATTAATTTAGAAATAACAAGGAAGAAATGACTTTAAAAATTATGTGTTAATTTATGTCCTGAGTGAAATGATTACTAGAAACGACTTAGGGTGTACTTTTAGCCAGTAGTATAAATACAAATTGTGTTAATTTGTGTCCTGAGTGAACTGATTACTAGAAACGACTTAGGATGTACTTTTATCTAGTAGTAAATATAAATACATCACTCTATATGTATTAGATTTTCTGTTCCTCTAAAATCTAAGTGGAATCTATACCTGTTAGATTTTCTGTTCCTCTAAAACCTAAATGGAATCAATACCTGTTAGATTTTCTGTTCCTCTAAAATCTAAATGGAATCAATACGTTTTAGATTTTCTGTTCCTCTAAAAGTGGAATTACAAAGCTTTGAATGGCGTGTACAATATAATATACTTAACCCTAATTCCATGAAAACTTACAAATCTTCAAGTGTTGTTAGAAATCGATAACTA